GGAGAGAAATGGAAAATGAGCTAAGAAATACTTTGTGGAGCAGATCGGAGGAGAGATTATTGGGCACCTGAAACACAACAGGCACATATTTCTCCTTCAAATCTGATCAAACCTTTGACGTCAGCAGCATAACTCTATTAAACATAAATGTTAAAGTGGGACCATTACGGTGAGATTAAGCCGTCGCACTCAGTCAGAACCAAAACAAGACTCTGGCCTGCTTCTTTTTTTATTTATGAAAGCCAAACACAGTTAAATACTTAACAGCAAAAAACTCCGTTCAGGACGAATAAACAAAGTCTCTGGAAAGAACATTTTCATTTCGTGACCTCAGAACTAACAAGCTGATTGATTTTCTTCACATTCGGTGTTTACTCTCATGTTCTAGGTGCCGCCCGTGAAGCCCACAGAAGACCCGGGGCAGACGTCAGCGTGTTGTGACCCGATCGGTTTTGCTTCACTTCACTGATCAAAACAAACACTATGCTTGCAAGTCACGCATACGTTTGTGAGAACTCTGCAGGATTTCCCCGCTGCAGTTTGTTAACGGCGACACAGGATCCTGACCTGCATCGACTAACGATTATTACCACTGTCGATTGATCTGTTCTCGATTAATTTATGAGCTGTTTGGCCTCAAATCCCAGGATGACGCCTTCAAATGTCTTGTTTGGCCTGGAATCCAAAGAGTTTACTGTGACAGAAGAGTAAAAGAACCGGCAAATATTCAAATTTAAGAAGGTGCAATTGGAAATCTTTGCTTTATTTTTATAGAACATCACTCAAACTGATTATTCATTCATTAAAACAGTCGGCGATGAATGCAACAGTTGGCAACTCGTCCATCAATCATCGCAGCTCCACTAATAAATACAGATTGATCTAACTTTCTGTTGCTTTTACAGTCTTAGCTTGCACAGCCATGTAATTTAGAGAAAACAAAGGCATTCCATTGGTTTCTGTGATGTGTGTGTCACTCACAGGTATCACAAAGACGCAAGAACACCTGTTTGGTCTGCGATATTTGGCTCTTCCATAAAGAAAGTCGTAAAGCTGCGAGCTGCAGCTGCGGCAGACGCGCACCTGAACACTCCTTCCTCGCATGCAAACTGGCACCGACGCACACTCTGATGCACCAATAAAGATGAAAACAACTCATCCAGAAGCACACACACACACACACACACACACGTCTTCCTCGGACGGTGTGTGTGTGTTCACGGGACAGACGGCCGCTGAAGCCGAGGTGTCACACCGCCGTATTTATAACATCGCTGACACCCGGCAAATACCACGACACTATGTGAGTATTTACTACACCGCCCCTCTCGCATTGTCAGCAGCTCCGGCAGGCGCTGACACACACGTGAACACACACATTCATCAAACTCCGTCTTCAGCCCCACACACACACACACACACACACACACACACACTAGTTCTTCCTGTGATCTTGGAACAAACTGTCCTTTCACACGCAGATCCACATACAAACAACAAACACCAGGCGACGCTTCGTAGTTATTAGTGTGGAACCTTGTGAACTCTAAAATGCTGTCTTTAAAAAAAAAAACAATTTAAACGACACCGTTTATCAGAGCCGGAAACTATAAAAACTGAAAGAATTTTCAACTTCTCCTGTGACGCACCGTCCGGACAGCGAAGTTCAAAATCAGGAAATTTCATCTTTATTCTACATTAAAAATTTTGCCGAAAGCGAATCGTTAGCAGGAACCAGAGTCTGTAAAACACAAAAAATTCTGCAGCACTTGATGCAACTGTGAACCTGTGAGCGACTAAACTGCAACCATCACCCACATGACAAAAAATTCAAGGACTTTTCCACTGTATTCGACCAAACTGCAGGCCGTGCTCACACAGAGCACTTGTGGAAAAAGTGGGAAATCAGATTAAAAATTAAAAAAGTTAAATATCTACAGCATGTAGAGCTACCATGTTTTTTTTTCCAGTATTGGTAGGTGCTGTGGGCATTTGGAAAAACGTTGTACATATCCCATTTAATATATATATACATATAAATAATTAAAGAAAATAAACTTTTTTGATTTTTTTTAATGATTCATGGTTTTATACATGACCGAAGATATGTTTGCCTTGTTTCTATGCAGGACTTTATATTACAGTTTTAAAAGAAAGAGCTTATGGCCAGTAAAACTGTAGCAGACGGCAAAAAAAATTGGCTTATAGTAATAAGAATAGTTAAGGACAGCAGGACAAAGTTGGAATGAAGAGAGAAAACGTGGACTTGGACGTATTCTGCTCCCCGGTGTGAGTCTACCTGGCAGCTACAGCTTGATTAAAGGCCCAAAAACAGAAAACATGAAGGAAAAACGGGTGACGGCGGGGGAGAGAGGACGAAAGGAAGCAGCCAGAGAGAGAATGGACAGGAGGGGTGAGTCGGGGATGAGCTGGATCGCTTTCTTCTGCAGTGAAAAGAGGACAGAGGTAGCCACGCTTCGTTAGACGCAAACAAGAACCCTGCAGGAGAGGAGCGGCGGAGGGCAGGGTGGCGCGTGGCCATCGCACAGGAAAACAAACGTCCAGCCGTCCATTTAACCAGCAATCACATCCCGGAGCCGACATTAGCTGATGTGTGCCGCNGTGCGTGCTGGCGATAACTAGCTGAACAAAGCTAGGATTTCAAGGCTGTTGGTGCTGTTAGCCTTGGGGGCTGCCGAGGCCAGCTGGCCCCGCTCCGGTCAACAGATCTCCGTTTAGGTTCCTCACTTTCTCTCTCCAGGATAGTTTTCGCCTCTTTCATATCAGTGACACGCAGAGAACAGAAGGTTTCTACCACACACACACTCTCACCTCCTGTGAGATCAGATACACGACGTCTGCTTACAAGCGAGACGAGTCTATTATGAGACGGTCGGCAGTTTCAACATTCAGTAACAAGCTACGCACGATAAACGGTCGTTCTGCCTCCTGCTGTAAAGGAAGGAATCATTACTTCATCTGCTGATTGATACTCGAGTCTTAAAAACAGTGAAAAATGCACATAGCAAGTTCTCAGAGGCCCTAAAGACAACTAGAACCAATATGTTGACATCAGCATATATATGTTGTCAGATGTGTGTAAAAATAAAAAAGTTTTTACGGAACATAATGCAAGAAAATATGTAATATCAGCGTTGTGTGCAGCACATGTAGCAGAGTATATATCACAGACAGCGGTGCGGAGTCATGCGGTGTCTTCACTAACATTGATTAGTTTGTTAAGTTCAATTCAATTCAATTCAATTTTATTTGTATAGCACATATTTACAACAACAAGTCATCTCATAGCGCTAAGTCCATTAATGCAAAGTTAATAAAGAATGACGTCATCATTTTCTCCTTGTAATGTGTTGCTTTGTGTGTTTATCTAAAGAATATCGTCCAATACACTAATATCAACATTTTCTTACTCCTTAAAAATCTAATTAAGCATCAGCAAAAAAAAAAATACAAATCTGTTATCAAAGCTTTGACGTCAAGTTGAACGTCTACATATTTAACGTAGTGACACTGAAAAGCAGCAAATCTTCCACCAGCGAGAATTTGAGCTGCACGTCATTGTACCGTAATGTCTGGACTATAAACTTCTTTTACACTCTTTGAACGCTGCGGCTTAAACAATGACACGGCTAATTTATGGATTTTTACAAATTTGCATCGAGACCAAAGTGACATCAAGAGCGACAACGAAAGAGAGACTGAGGAAGTGACGAATGAATTCTGAGGCTGAAGAAGACGACTTCAGTGGTTTTAGTGCACAGGAGGAAGATGAAGATAGCGATCAATGACTTTTCCTGGTACCAGCCGTGTTACAGGCACTGTTTGGAAAGAAGCATTTATGCATGGTACCGGTACGTATTTAATTAAAAGTTAAAAAACATCTTTCTGTGTAAATATCTCATGTTACAACTTGGACACCTGCAGCTAAGTGTGGCCTGTATATGTACAAAACCTGTTTTCTTTTTAAAGTTAGTGGGTGTGGCTTATATTCAGGTGCCTCAATAGTCCGGAATTTACGGTAAAAGGTGGTTTTTAAATTTTCCGAGCACAAAGGCTATTAGTGGAATAAGTTAGTAAGAAGCCCTGAAATAATACGACCCAGCATCATATAAAGAACTCAATGAATTTGAAACGATATCCAAAAAGTGCAGACGTTGGCCGGATAGTTCTGGTTCATTGTCACACGGAGGACAGAGAGGGAAGGAGGAACAGATGAACGGACGGACAGGAAGAGAAGGAGATCCAGGCTCAGGTTACAGATCAAACGCTGAGCTTCAAAGAGCTNAGTCTATGGGAGCCAGGGCTTTTTGGAGCCAGCAGCTAGTGGACGTAGTGATATTGCAGGTTTTTGACACTTCCGGGTTGGCTTCATTTTTCAGGGCCGGTTGCTACGTCCATCTTTTATACAGTCTATGTTTGAATCATGTGTGTTGGAAGAGAGAAACATCTAAAACATGCAGGATTGTGGCCCTCGAGGACCAGGATTGGACACCCCTGCTCTAACTGGTCGAGCAGAAAGCTCCAGACAAGTATTTGGGAAAAGCCACCCAACATATCATGAAGGACTCACCTCTCGTAGTTCCAGCCTCTGGGCCACCGCCTCCAGACATTCCTGCCCCGTGCTCTCCACTGACAGGGTGCATTCAATCACATTGCTGTCCAGCAGGCGGATCCGCGTCACAAAGTAGTTCTTGCTCAGGACGTTGTAGCGCCGCGTGCGCCGCAGCTTCAGCCTGAAGGGCATGGCCGGCCGGAGGGAGGGTCAAGGCTCGGTCGCGGCTGAGTCGAAGGTCAAAAGTCACTTGAGAGCGAGCGAGCGAGGGAGCGGGGGCGACGGGTGGGCCGGCTCTACGACCTGGCTGCTGCCCTCCTCACTCTCGCGCGACGCCAGCCACACCACCGGGTGGAGAGATGCACCCTGGCAAGGCGCTGGCCCATTCCCAAAGTTGTCCGGAGAGGAGGGGGGACGACGACGATGAGGAGGAGCGAGAACGGGTGCTGCACGGAGAGAAGAGAAGGAAAAAACAGGGGGGTCAGTGGATGACAGCTTTGCAAACTTTTCCAGCACATGAGATTTCAGAAACCGCTGTAATCGGTGAACTCTCCTCCCTATCGCAGCCTCCCACGCCGCGTTTCCCCGTATTATCACCCTCCCATAAACAAGCAGAAACCAAAAACTAGCAGCGATAGCGGCGGTGCTCGGAGTGTCAGCAGACAGTTTTATCCTGAAGCCGGGGCAGCTGCGCTCCCTCCAGCCCCATGAGGCCCAGCGGCAGGCAGAGCTGGAGATGCTAGAGCTGTATGGATGAATGGACATCAAACAGCCGAGAGCAGACATCCATCTGAACCCGGCAGCTGGCTTTGAGGAACTAATGGAGCTTCTAAGTCTCATATCTGCCTGTGTGGGAGGCCTTTTCCTTTCCTTTTTATCCCCCACTCTCTCTCTGCTCGGTGCCAGACATGGCAGTGTGTAAGATCACACACACATGTGGTCGAGGCCCTTGTGCTTCTACACACACACACTTTTTTTTGCCGGCTACTGTCACAAAACAGAAAAGCAGAACTCGTGTTGTCGGCGAGGAACTCGTAAAACTCGTAAAACTGAAACATAACATCACGAGGAAAACGAGAAAACACACAAACAAGTTAGAGGTCTTTGGGAATCACTTTGAACACGTCTCTGGGTTCGTCACCAGCTTTCATGTCAGTAATGAGGGAAGACCTTTGATGCGACACACGTGCACGCAAACACACAAAGACAGTCGCATGTTGTGTTCACACACCTAGCATGGTCATGTAGCTGAAAGGCAAGCATGAAAAATGTGCTTTAACCCTCTGAACGTTTACGAAACCACCAGAATGGCACCAGAAGAACGAACTGTACAAGCAGAGAAAACAATCAGATTTTCAACTTCCCGACTAAACTAACCACTTGTGATGTACAGCTACATCAGAAAACGACGTCTAAAATCTAATGTTTTATTAAAATTTTAAGGACGTTAAGTCTTCGAACCCCAAAACTGACCTGCAGGTTTGAAAAGCATCTTTATTGTTTTGTTATTTCACCAAGTAAACAATTTCTCGTAGCCAGATAACGTCCAGTCAGGAAATCTGAGCTTAACATCACAATATTTTATCTACATCTATTAATTCTACACATTTTATTTCCAATTTTGCTTAAAAAATAAACCATTTGCTCTACAACATTCTGTAAACAACTAAATAATCGGTGGTACTTTGCACATTTGTGGGGCTGCGACTTCATGTGACAAAACATTTGGGACTTTTTGGTGAACTGGGCTAAAAATATATGCGGTCAAATATGTAGATAGAGCCACTTATTTTTTAGTGTTGGTAACTACTGAAGAAATTCAACTTTTGCTTTCTCTTTATTTTATCTATAAAATGCATGCTGCTATCAGTGTGTTCCCTCCACTTCCAACCATGGCGGTGCTGTTTCTATAGAGCTGGAAGAGTTTATAAGGGAGTGAAAAATGGAGCAAAAAAACAAACTGTTCCGACTTTAAAGGGTTAACCTGAGTGACTTACCCACCAGTTATGAAGGGATTTTAAATAATGCAGGTAATGTCAGTGGGGATAAATTCAAATAGCTAAAAGCAGTGTCATTTTAAGGGTGTTGTCTACTCTGTAGCCTCGTTAGACGGGAACTAGATCCCAAAACCTGACAAAAAAAAAAAGGGAAAAACTTTTGCAAGGGCGCGTTTGAGAGACAAAACAAGAATAAAATGGACGTATGAATGTCAGAGAAAGCACCCAAGCAGGAGAGCTAAAAGACCAAAACACAACACGATAATGCTCAGCAGAGGAGAAAAAAAAAAAAAAGGAGGGTAGGGAGAAGCAGAACAGGGAGAAAGGAGGAGGAGTAAAGATGGAGGGGATGTGTTGCTTCTTGTCCCGGGCTCTGGCAGTGTGCTGCTGATAGTCAGCTTGGACCCCGGCCCAGATTCCTCTCTACCCCGACTGGAAAAACAGAGCACACCTGACACAAGTATGCGCAGCACAAGGAAGGAAAGTGTACAAGTGTGCGAGACGCGAGGAAATAAGAAGACGAGAGGGGAGGCGGCGGCGGCAGCGGCGGCGGTCTTGAATGGAGCTGTTTTTGTTTGCCACAGGTTTGAATCACACTTGCTTCACGCTCGTCTTTGGTAACGGCCGTGCCCCTCTGGGAGCCGGAGCGCATTCCTTCTCAGTGAGTCCATCTGCGCAACTGTAATGTGGCATCATCGTATTCATGTGTTTTTTATTGGGCGTTCATGCCAACACACACACACACACACACACACACACACACCGGGCGAGCAAGCCGCAGCAAGTGAATAATCAGGCTACAATGAGCGAATAAATCAGCTTCGCTTCTGGATGCGCGACCGCCGTGACCCCTGCAGTCACTTGACCTGAACCGCAGACCTCCCGTCGACCCTCCCCTCCGGCTCCGGCTTTAGGGGAACTGACATCACAGGGCTGCTGGTAAAAAATAAAAAAAAAATCCCCCTCCCTCCCTTTTAAACGCCTCAAGAAATCTTCCCAAGCGACACAAGGCTGCGAGATCACCGTCAACAAGTACACAGACAAACACACAAAAGACGACGCAAATAGAGACGCATACTTTCACTGTGTAGTGTACAAACATAGACATGCATGAACAGGGCACACCGCAAACACATACACGAGATCACACACACACCCACCAGGTTCCTCAGAGGTTAGCCAAAGGACCAGACAGCCGTTGGTGCAACTCTAAACTAGTAATCAGTGGCATGGTTTGGGAGTGTGTGGTTGAGTAAAGCCAGACAGACAGACAGACAATAGTTTGGGATCAAACCCACTCCTTGATGCCAAAAACACACACACACACACACACGCTGCTTTAATGCCGCTACAGCGCTGCAGCAACATTCTCTCCTCCCGACCGTCGTGTTTATTTCCAGCGTGCAGAAACAGCATATACGTTTATGAATTTGCACGTTGTAATTTTGTGGCGCGGAGAAAACGAGAGGGAAAACTGCGGGAAGAGGCTTGTTTTTCTTTTTCAGAGTGTGGAGCTTTTGTCTAAATATACATGAAACCATCTTTTGTTGTGTTGTGTTTTTTTTTTTTTTTTCTTTCCTTCTTCTTTTACTCTCCGCCTTCCCCCCAAACAACTGATACGGCAAAGAAGCTGGAAACAAACAGCAACAGAAGACGGGTTTTTTTTTTTTAAACCACATTACCGCACAAATATAGAGCTGTTTCCAGAACTGTTTGCAGATGGGACGACGTATTTATTCCTGCAAGGATCATCATGATAAAAGATGACACAGGAGCTACCTGGTCAGTACAAAAGTAAAAGAAAGACAGACTAGAGGAGATCCGACCTCTTGGACGTGCACCTTGACAGCGTGAGTTTCCCGACGCCACCCGTGTGCTCTCTGTCAGCCTGACATCAGATTAGTGTTTATCAAGTATCTTTGTGTTTGTGTGTCAAGAAATGTCAGCGTGACACATTTAGACAAAGGCGGCTGATTGATGACGCCCGACGTGTTGTAATTCATGTAGTCAGCGATCCGAAACGGCTTTTTATTAACGCGGGGGCGTCAATCAGAGTTACCGGGAACAGGCCGACCGTCAGGCTGTGGATTTCCCCACGTGTTGAAGCGCCGTGTTTGTAATGAGACCGATAGGCAGCATTTTAAAAAGTGGAGGAGTGTGTTTTACAGATTTTCCAAAACTAAAACACAAGAGCAGCACCTTCCTCTACATGAGCTGCAAACGCCAGTAAAATGATAGTGACAGACATCTGATTAAATGCACGATAGTTTAATCGAAACATATTAGATGCAAACCACCATGAAAGCACATAGTGAACAGACCTTGAATGCATCATCTGCCTCACTCATAAACAGCCTTCCCCTGAGCTCCTTCGCTCTTTGCTGCAGGTCTCCCGAGGCATGCTAGTCTGCAGCCACCTCCAAAGCTCATCACACAGAACTCCCCACCTTCGGGTTTGAGATGGACGAACACCTGTTGAGAAGCTTTTGGCGTAACACGGTGTCGTCACCTCAAGTAACGTTGTCTTCACTTCCTCTGTCTCTGGGGCAAAATTAGGAGTAACACTGGCCACCGACGCTGGAAGAAACCTACAGAACCAGCTGCAGCCTCGGCAACACCTTTACCTTCTGGGAAACACTACAGATCCCTGTATGTCCGCACAAACTGAATGAAGAACAGCTTTTACCCCAGAGCTGTCACACTAACCAACATACTTAAGTGGCTCAGGTGGTAGAGCGGGTTGTCCTCTGACGGTAAGGTTGGCGGTTCGATCCCCCGCCCCTCCACAGTCGAAGCGTCCTTGGGCAAGACAATGAACCCGAAGTTGCTCCCAATGGCAGGCCATTGGTCACAAGTTGCCGTCATTGGTGTACGAGTGTGTGTGTGAATAAGAAACACACTGTAAAGCGCTATGAGTGCCTCTAAGGTAGAAAAGTACAATATAAGTGCAGTCCATTTATCACACTACCTCCCAGACCAATGTGACATAATTAAACATGCTGATCTACTGACTTTGCACTTTTTTTTATTCACTCTTTCACTTCTTTCTGCCCAGTACTCCTGCCTCCATCTCTCTTCAAGTGCAATAATCTATTTTGTGCAATATCCCTCCAACGATGACGCATTACTGGCTCCTAATGCTCCTTCATATATATTTCTATACATTTTAGTATCTCATTGTACTTTTACAGGAGCAATAAGGTATCTCGTGTATCTCCGTGTGTGTGTCCCTGTCCAACACAAGAAAAAAACGTACCAAGACGTTGGAATGCGGGATCTCGTCCACGCTATCATGGTGCTGTTTTGTCGCGGAGAGCTTGACAGGTGCACAGCATCAACGAAGGCGGTTGGGGTTTAGCAAACAGCCTGTTAATGCTATGTGTTAACAGCTGACAAAAGAAGGATAAAAAAATGAGCTACAAAAAACACTGTTGACACAGGTTTCCCCT